CGGCCCCCTTCCTTGGGCGAGCCGATCTGCCGATGCGGCTGAGCATTAGAAACCGGTGTGGCTTTCTCCTCGTCTGGGATCCGGGCTCCCGGCTCCTGATAAGTGATGGCAGAGAGGGTGGCGTGAAGCCGTGGCCTGTTCCTGCACGAAGCCCCTCGCCCACAGGCATGGCGTACCGTTTTTTAAGGGAAGAGCTTTAGATCGTGCAGACTCAAGGGAGGGACTTCTCCAGGAGACAGACTCCCGTAGGTATGCTCTGTGCACCTGGTGTGCTCTACTGACCCAAAACAAAGTTGCCAGAATCGCAGGAAGCGCCGTGTACGGACAAGGGAAGCGAGATGAGCGGGATAAAGTTGAGAGGTAGGTGTCTGTGATTATCTAAGCTGCATACAACTTGGCCAAACAAAACAAGCAGCGTCATGGCTGTGTCTCCCTGCCTTCTGCTAAACGTTCCCTCCTCCCAGAGTTACAGGTTACCATAAAAGCTCGTTATGCTTTCCCCAGCAAACACATTCCTCGCTTTGTTAACATGTTGCAGAGGAAATGTGTGGTTAGAGAGGGCAACTAGGCTTATCGAACTTGTTTCCGACCCACTACCTGATTTTGCTCAGACAGATTGTTTTAATGCTCGTATTTTGTTTGTGTCCCAAGGAAACCAGGCTCTGGGCCACTGCTGCCATCCCCCGCAGCCTTTGAGGACACAGAATGAAGCTCTCTGCCTAGAGCATCTTGACATGCCTGCCTGCCTGCCTGCCTCTGGCCGAGCCCAGCAAAAGCAGTAACTCCTGGGCTGGATTCAAGGCATCACATCTGTCAAATAAAAAGATGGCCCTAGGTCGTGGCTCTGGCACCTCGCGGCTGAGACTTTCAGTGATCCTAGTGGACACAAGCTATGTTTCAGCAACGGCATTAGATCCAGAATCAGCTCCGTTTCCGTTTGTAGGCAATCATCCCTGAGAGTGAGTCCCTGCGTCTGAGTAAATCCATTGTCTCTCACACTCCCAAGTAATCTTCATTCTTATGTCAGTCCCGCTAGTATGTCCCCCTCCTCTTTATTCCCATATTCAAGGTGTCTTTTGCCTCCAAAGCAAACTAAACATCTCTTTTTGCTTACCTGTTCTGATCCCCAGCTGTTCCTGACCTAGAAACCTCTCACTGTTTAACCTCATTGTTTTTCTACCTGCCTAGACATCTGGGCCTTCCTTTGCTTGTTTCAACCCCTGAGGCAGAAGGTTGCTTCTGGAGGCTTCCAAAAGGCATTTTGTTTACTTATTAACAAGTGCAGATGTTCCTTGATGTATGATGGAGTTATATCCCAATACACCCATGTATACTGAAAATATCATAAAATGAAAATGCATTCAATACCCTGAATTTTACCCCATATCTTTAAAATAAAAATAATAATTTTTAAAAAGAAAATGCATTTAATACCCTAATCTACAGAACATTGTTGCTTAGCCTACCTTAAATGTGCTCAGAACACATTAGCTTACAGCTGGACAAATCACTTAACACAAAGCCTGTTTTACAATAAAGTTATAGAATTTTGAATTAAAACTTAAAGTACAGTTTCTACTGAATGTGTATTGTTTTTGTGCCATCATAAGTCAAAAAAATCATGTCTAATCATAATAGCTCAGGATCATCTACAATTGCTGTTGTCATCTAAGTATACCCAACAGTGTCTTTCACCACAGCCAGCACAAAGAGGATCTTTCTAAATGGAAGTTAATATTTTGTTCATCAAACACCAGTCACCTACTATGTGTCTAGGAACAAAGAACAAAATTCAGTCACAGCCTCAGCATTCCAGAGGTTCAAGTTAACTGAAGGAAATAGACACGAACACCTGACAGTGATAACAATGACAAGGATGTGTACAAGGGGCTAGATCACAGATTACAGAACAATTCTGCCAAAGAGAGAAATGGGTATAACTCAAAAGAGTCACCAAACACTTTGATCTAGGGCTTCAAGGCAATGTTCAGGATTGCTGGTCAAGGAAGTAGGGAAGGGTATTACAGACAGAGGGAACAGCCGGTGCAAAGGCATAAAAGTGAATAAATTTTCCAGCACAGTTTACACTGCAGTGTAAGTGTAGTTATGTAGCCGCTTTGATCTATACACCTTACTTCAATATAAGCTGATTTTTAAAATATCCCTGTCGTCTTAAAGTATAATGAAAAAATTAAAAAGTTGATGAAAATGATAAAAGGTATTTGCTCACTTAAAATCATCAGTCACAGGCAACCCCTTTGGGACCCCTCCCACTGCAGGAACTTTTCTGTCCTCTCAATAAATCCTGATTTAACCTGGGCTCAGTGGCTCAGCCTGTAACCCCACGCCTTTGGGAGGCTGAGGTGAGTGGATTGCCTGAGCCCACAGGTTCGAGACCCACCTGGGCAACTTGGTGAGACCTCATCTCTACAATAAATCAAAAATTAGCCGGGAGTGGTAGTGCGCGCCTGTAATTCCAGCTACTTGGAAGACTGAGGCAGAAGGATCGCCAGAGCCCAGCAGGTCGAGGCTGCGGTGGCCAGGAGCGGCCACTGCACTCCAGTCTGGGCAACAGAGTGAGACTCCAACTCAAAACAAAAACAAAAACAAAATAATAATAAATCCTGCTTTAAAAAAAAATCAGTCACTATTTTGTTCAAAGGCTGTGGGCCACCCCACAACTTAAGGTGTACTTTGATATCCTTTTATCCCATTTGACAAATTTGACAAATATACTGTCTTCTCAAGCTATCTGGAACAAATAGATATGAAATGTCAAACAATTTAACTGAAACCGAGATGGAACTTGGAGAGTCTCTTCAATTGTCTTCTTTGCAGTGGCTTTACAAAGACCAGTTTTGATTCTGCTTTCTTTGTAGAACTTGGCAGCTGAGTTATTTCCCCCAAATGTATCACTTCCTTGCATCAGTGTTATTGGACATTTAAAACATTTCCAGTGGAAAAACCTCTTTGGATCTGACTGCAGTCGTTCTTAACCTGTTTTTGAGTCCCACACCCTTTGAGAATCTGATGGAAACTATTCCCTTTTCCCCAGAAAGATTCATATGCAGATAAACATCAATATTTGCATCTTATTTCTGTGAGTTTATGATCTGAAACCAGTTTGTGGGTTCACAGTTTAGGGCTCATAGTCCCTAAGAACTCCTTTCTAAAGGAAATTGTCAATCAAATGACATTGGGAATATCCCATACATATGTGTTCAGGATTGAGAACAGTGGTAGCCCCTTTTAAGGGTAGTGGGAGCCGGGCTCGGTGGCTCAGCCTGTAATCCCGCGCCTTTGGGAGGCTGAAGTGAGTGGATTGCCTGAGCCCACGGGTTCGAGACCCGCCTGGGCAGCGAGACCTCATCTCTACAATAAATCAAAAAATCAGCCGGGCGTGGTAGCGCACGCCTGTAATTCCGGCTACTTGGAAGGCTGAGGCGGGAGGATCGCCAGAGCCCAGCAGGTCGAGGCTGCGGTGGCCAGGAACAGCCACTGCGCTCCAGTCTGGGCGACAGAGTGAGACCCCAACTCAAAAAAAATAAAAATAAAAAAATAAAGGTAGTGGGTATGCCGAAAAGAAGGTAGCTGTGACCCACATAGAACCACACTCTACCCTTACACCACCCCATCACCAGCTGGTGCTGGAGCAAGTTAATACAATTCTTCAAGCCTTACCTGTAAAGTGGAGATAATACCTCTCTCTGAAAGTTATTGGTAAGGCTTAAACTAAATCCTGGATATAGATTTAGCATTGTAATACAGCAGGCTCCAGGTAAAAGTTACTTAATTAGCACATTATTTATTCTTTTATGCCCAGAGGCCATTGGGATTTTTCTCTAAATCACAACCTAAACTAAATATGACCAATATGCAAGACTTGCTTTATTATTGTCATCAATGTAAAGTTTATTACATTTTTTAATTGAAAATTTTATTGAGATAATCATATGCAGTTGAAGGAAATAATATAGACAGATACCTTTTATGCTTTGTCCGGTTTTTTTTTTTTTGAGTTGGACTCTCACTCCGTCGCCCAGGTGGGTGTGCAGTGACACGCTCACGGCCACCCCAGCGTCGACCTGCTGGGCTCTGGGGTGATTCTTCCACCTCAGCCTTCCAAGTAGCCAGAACTATAGGCATGCTCTACCATACCTGGCTAGTTTTTTTTTTAATTTATTGTAGAGACAAGGTCTGGCCAAGTTGCCCAGGCTGGTCTCGAACCCATGGGCTCAGGCAGTTCACTCGCCTCGGCCTCCCAAAGTGCTGGGATTACAGGCTGAGCCACTGAGCCCGGCCTGTCCAGTTTTTATCAATGGTAGCATTTTACAAAACTAGTATAATATCACAACTAATATTGGCATTGATACTGACACTGATATAATCCAGTGATCTTATTCAACTTTTTCCAGTTTTGCTTGTACTGATATGTATGTGTGTGTTTAAGTTTTAGTTTTAACACGCATAGTTTCACATATTCAAAATACTAAACAGTTTCAACACCACACAAATCCCTCGTGTTGCTCCTTTATAAACTCCACCCTCTAACACCTGGCAACAACTAATCTGTCCTTTGTTTCAAAAAATGTCATTACAAATCGTGTCTCTACAAAAAAAAGAAAGAAAGAAATTAGCCAGTCATCATGGCCTGCACCTGTAGTTCCAGCTACTGAGGAGGCTGGGCAGAGTGATCACCTGAGCCCAGGAGGTGGAAGCTCCTGTGAACCATGATCGTCCTGTCATGATCATGCCACTGCACTCCTATCTGGGTGACAAAGTGAGACCCTGACTTTATTTTATTTTATTTTACTTTACTTTATTTTATTTTACTTCTTTGAGTTGGAGTCTCACTCCGTCGCCCAGACTGGAGTGCAGTGGCATGCTTCCAGTTACCGCAACCTGGACCTGCTGGGCTCCGACGATCCTTCTGCCTCAGCCTTCCAAGTAACAGGAACTACAGGCGCCCACTACCATGCCTGGCTAATTTTTTATTTACTTTAGAGACAAGATCTTGCCAAGTTGCCCGGGCGGGTCTCAAACCTGTGGGCTTAGGCAATCCACTCGTCTCAGCCTCCCAAAGTGCTGGGATTACAGGGAGACCCTTTCTTTATTTTTTTGAAAAAAAAGTGTAGATTACAGAAATGTTGTATGAAGGAAATCATACAAGATCTCTTTTGGAAAAATTTTTTTTGCACCCGGCTTAATTTCCTGGAGGTTCACCCAAGTCCTTACACGTATCAATAGGTGGTTCCTTTTTATTGCGGAGTGGTATTCTATGATATGGATGAATCACGGTTTTTTGAACCACTCATTCTTTGAAGGACATCTGGCTGACACTCCAGTTCCAGTCTATTACAAATAAACTACTATGAACATTTGTGTACAGGTTTTTATGTGAACATGTGTTCAGTTCTCTGGGATAAGTGCCCAAGAGTGCAATTTACTGAGTCATATGGAAATTGCATTCGTTTTATAAGAAACTGCCAAAGTGTTTTCCGGAGTGGCTGTAGCATTTTACTTTTCCACCAGCGATGCTTCTCAGCATTCTTGCTAGTGTTTGGTGTTGTCACTATTTTTTATTGAAACCATCCCGATAGATGTGTCGTTATTGTATTTTATGGCTGTGGAATTATTTGAGATATAGATTATTTCTTCAAATATATGCGCCAGGCAATTAGAGACAATTGTGAAAAATAATTTTGACAGCTTTCTTTAAAGACCCTAACTGAACCCCACAGTTTACGTTCAGAGGGTCATGAGTGAAAATTTAAAAAAATTATTGAACTGCTGTTATTCATTTAAAATGTAATTTTGTTTATAGAGCATTTCCCACTTAGGCAAGCAGTATTTTCAATAATTAAATTGATTATTCTAATAAAAAATGCTATTAATATAAGTTCAATTTTTTAAAATTCAGATGTGATCATTTTATTGTAAATCAACAAAGGACATGCCCAGGCTTCTGGCTGTCTACTCCTTCAAGATTTTACCATCTTTATTGGTCCAGGAAAACAAGACAAAAAGCTCTCCAAATTTGTTATGTTTCATCGACAGTATATAAACAACAATAACCAGGGAAAGCAACAGACGGAAGGAAATCCCAAGAAAGACCCTAGGTCATTGTCTACTTGCTAAATATTTTGCTAGTTTTTGGACAGGAATGGAGGAAACCTTATTATAATTAAGACAATGGTTTTCAAAAGTATGGTCACTAGGATAATTGCAACATAGTAGTACCTGGGAACTGTTAGAAATGCAACTTCTCAGGCTCTACTCCAGACTTACTATATCAGAAATTCAGGGAATGGGGCCCAGCAATTTGTATTTTAACAAGTCCTCCAGGTGATCCTGATGCTGGCTTGCAGTTGAGAACCACTGTGGAGGGCATATAGTTATTCTTTTATTATTCTTATTTATTTATTTAGTTAGTTAGTTAGTGGGAGTCTCACTCTGTTGCCCAGGCTGGAGTGCAGTGGCATGCTCACGGCCACCGCAGCTTCGACCTGCTGGGCTCAGAGGATCCTTCCGCCTCAGCCTTCCAAGTAGCTGGAACTCAGCCTTCCAAGTAGCCCA